ATGCTGTTAAATAAGTTGACCCAGGACAGTTTTAACTCATCAGAACATCCACTTGTGCTCCAAGTATTAGCAGGGGAGTCCCAGAGTTTCAAAGTCATGACCTTTGCCTCTCTCCTCATTGACAGCCTCTCCTACATTGATCAAACATATCACCCTTTGATCCAAAGCCTTCCAAGATAGTTTACCAATATTAAATGCTCAAATTTCCCTGTCAACACAAGTTCTTGTGGAAACTAAATAAAAAAGGAAGGGAAGGGAGATTGTACATGCCTAAAACCAAGGTAAGGTTTAAATAATTGAAAGTGGCCTTGTAGAAACTCAGGTTATTATATCAACCCTTGGTACCACTCCCCAGAATCCCTACTCTCTTCCCTGCCTGTGGTTATATGCACAGTCATACGGAGGGACTTGTGGAAGTTGGACCCTCTGCCTCTGGCCATGCAAGCCAGGGAGGTGGCTCCAGATTTAAAAAAAAAAATTTATCCTGTTCTAGAAAATCACGGACAAACATGAATGTTTACATATTCAAAGGATGGACAGAATGGGATGATTTTATGTAAAACCACCTCCAAGTGCTTAGCACAGTGCCTAGTGAACAGTTAAGAGCTTAATAAATGCACTTGTTTATACATTTAAAAAACTGAACCTTGTTGATTGGCTGCAGTGGGTATAGAACCCTTTGCCTTGCAAAAGGAAGACAGATAATTGGAGAGAAGACAGACTATGAATCTATTACATGCATCTTAGTTTTTAAAATTTAATGTTAAAATTAACATAATAGTACCACCATCACTCTGCTTATCTAACCCTTCTCCAGTTTCTTCTATGTATTTTTAAATGTTTCATTGATGACTACTTTGTAATGGACTAGGCCCCCTTTCAACTTTTTTTCATTATCTCCTTTGAAATTCTTGGTATTTTGTTCTTCCAGATAAATGATGCTATAATTTTGTCTAGTTCAATTGGCACTGAACTTATAAATTAATTTAGGAAGTACTGTCATTTTTATTCTATTACCAAGGCTAAACCAAGAGTAATTAATTACTCTCCAGTCATCCATCTTCCTTTTGTATGGGAAATATCACACCACAGATCACCCTTCTTGAGGTGAAAATCCTTCTTTAATTGCATTAAAAAGGAAATAACTTCACTGGATAACCAAGCAAACTCACGAAGACTTTAAACAAAAGAAGAAACTTTAGCAGTTTTTCAGTTAAGCAGTGGGCCAATCTAAGAGTTAAGGATTTCAGTTTCAAGTACATTAGCTAGGCTCCTAAGAAGAAGGAATCACTGTGGGGAAGGAGAGAAGGGGGAACAGGGAAGAGAAGGAAAATCTCTCTCTCTCTCTTCTCTCTCTCTCTCTCTCTCATCATCCCTCCAACTCCCTCCTTATCCTTCCCCATCAAGAGTAGGCTCCAAATGGGATTCTCTGATAATAAGTTACGATGATGCAACTTCTTTTCCAAAATGATACGTATTATAGAGCTCCGGCCTTGGAGTCAGGAGGACCTGAGTTCAAATGTGACCTCAGACACTTGACACTAGCTATGTGACCCTGGGCAAGTCACTTAACCCTGACTGCCTCACCAAAAAGCAAAAAAAAAAAAAAGATATGTATTTCCAAAATAAATATATCATTTCTTAAAAACTGAATCGTGAACAATACCATATTTTACACATAGTAGAACTTTTTATTTAAAGGAACTATGTAGTAAAACCTTTTACATATTGAAAAAAAAAATCCTTTTGTAAACAATTCCCCTCATCCTCCCTGTGATTAATCTGTTTTGTGCATTTATAATGACATGGGGTTTTGAGTTTTTTAAGTTTTGTTTTTATATTACCTAGCAAGTGAACCATCCCTTATAACAAAGATATAAAAAAAAGGAAAAACTTACTTTAGCAAAACTAACCAACGTATCAACCAAGTCCAACATTATATGAAATATTACACGTCACCTCTGCAAAGAAGAGAGGAAGACTTATCATTATATCTCTTCTTTGGAACCAAGGCTGGTCATTATAATCACACAAAATTCGGTTCTCAATTTTTGTTGTTGTTATTTCCATTTACATTGTTTGCAGTCATTTTATATATTGTTTCCCTGATTGTGCTTCACTTAGCTCTAGTTCATACTGGTTTTCCAACGCTTCTCTAGTCTTCATATTTGTCGTTTTTCCAGTGCAATAATATTCTACCACATTCATTTATTCAGTACGTTAGCACAGTGCCTGGAACATAGTAGGTACTTAATAGGCATTTATTGTCAATACATTGACATTTATTGACTCAATTTGACTTAGTCATTCCACTAATCAATGGGCATCTTTATTTCCAACACTTTGCTATTACATTAAGTGTTCCTTTAAATATTTTGATATACATGGGGCCTTTTTTCTATTTCTGACCTCTTCAAATATACACCAAGCAGAGGTATCTCTATGTCAAAGGATGCGTAAATTTTAGTAACTTTCTCAGCATAACTACCCACAACCACTGTATCACTTCATAACTCTACCAACAGCATGTGGACTTTTCCACAAACTCTCCAATATTGATTATTTCCATCATCTATTATTTTTACTGATTTGTTAGGTATAAAGTAAAACTTCAAAACTGTTTTAATTTGCATTTTCTTTTTATTAGTGATTTGGAGCGATCTTTCATATGGTTGTTATAGTTTGCAGTTCTTCTGAAAACCAGCCATTCACATCCTTTGTCCAGTTATCCATAGAGAATAGTTTTTGGTCTTCTGTATTTTGTTTGTTCTCTATATATCCTGGTTCTCAGACCCTTATCAGAGATGTTTGATGTAAACATTTCCCCCACTTGACCATTTTCCATCTTATTTTAACCGTACTGATTCTCTTCATACAAAAGCTTTTCCATTTCATGCACCAGAATAAGCCATTTTATATTCTGTGATGGTGTCTATCTGTTTTGTTAAGAATCTCCTTCCTAGCCAAAGCTGTGAATGGTACCTGATCTAGTTCTCTTCTAATTTATTTATTGGTATGTCTTTTAATATGAAGGCCATATTTTGAACTTATTGAACAAATAGTATATGGTATATAAAAATTTGAACAAAGAGTATATGGTATAAAAGCACTGGTTTAAGACTAACTTTTGCCAGACTTCTTCCAACTTTCTCAGTAATTATCAAATGAAAAATTCTTCCACAATTTATATTTTCTGGTTTATCAAAAACTGGGTTGAGTTCCATTGTTTCTAATTCTTCCTTCCTGTGTCTGTTCTACTGATCTACTTTTCTATTTTTTATCCAGTATCAAAGGTTTTTTTGTATTCTTTTAAATTACTGCCGCTTTAATACAACTTGTGATTTGGAAGTGCTATTTCCCCTTCATTTTTACTTTTGAAAAAAATTTCCCTTGAAATTCTAGACCTTTTGTTCCTCAAAATGAAGTTTATTTTCTTTAACCCTGTCAGGTATCCCCTTGATATTTTGATGGCTATAGAACTACCTCTGTAAATTAATTTAGACAGTTTGGTCATTTTCATTATATTGCTGCGGTTTAGCCATGAACACTTAATATCTCTCCACTTACTTAAGTCATACTTTATTTCTTTAAAGATTAATTGTATCTATATAGGTCTCGAGTGTATCCTGGTAGATAGATTGACTCACAAATATTTTACAGATATAATCAAGTTTTCTTAAAGTAAGCCACAGCTGTTGGAACAGCTTCCTCTGTGAAGGCAAGGGATAGTGGTTAGCTGTACAATCACTGTATTATTAATTTATTGCTTCCCCTAGAGAGTGTCAAAGGACAATCTTACGGAAGGCCTTTAGTCAATCAAAATCGAGTTTACATAAAAAACGTATGTGTGGTCTAATTTCTGAGAATGTTGAGCTATCCTTGGCTGAAGCTTGAACTTATAATTGAATTCTCACAGGAAAAATAAATGACTGTCTAGGAATCTGATTAAATTAAGATATGTTCCATATGAGATAACCAAGGCAAGAATTTAGCACCTTTCCTATTACTGCAAACACCACTGGAGACTATTATTTTTATGCAACTGCTTCCTCTCTGCTTTTCAATGGCACATGTGTTTTGCAGCTGTCCTCACTTTAGCCAACAAGAATAAAGAATAAATTAAGAGGAAAAGGTCAAATCATCAAGCTGCCTGAATTACACATCAGATGGGTTTTTTTAACTTTAAAATAAGAACCACATCAAATACACTAAATAAAATGATAAGATTTCAAGGCAAGTTTTTTTCTCTTTGGAGTTCTCCCCCCTTATGTTTTTAAATTTAAGTTCAAACACACAAACCCTTCTTTTATAAATCCACTTTTATTTTATAATAAAAATCACCTTATGATACATTTTATCTGATAGGCAAGATTTTTACTACGTGAATTAAACCAAAAAATTACATCATTTTAAATAGAATTCATAGTTGTAAAAAAAATAAAAAGACCAAAATAATAGAGCTAAGAATTTTAGAGGCAAGCTTTTAGGTAGACTGGATGTTTGAGGTGCTATATAAATTTTTATTGTTGAGTCGTTTCATTCACGTCACTCTCTGTGACCCTATTTGGGGTTTTCTTTGCAAAGATACTCGAGTGGTTTGCCATATCCTTCTCCAAGTATATGAACACGTCTTTCACTTAAGCTGCTTGATGGCTGGGACTATTTCTTTTTTGTCTTTGTATTCCTAGCACTTAGCAAAGCCCACTGCTACAATGGAGACAACTGAAAATTTCTTACTGAATGGAATTATTTAAATAGGATGGTTAAAATGTCAAATTGTTGTTATTCATAGACACTAATAATATTTCACATGCCTTAAGAAGAATTTAAATATTGCGTCATTTATGTTACTTACTGACTTTGGTCCTCAATCAAGCAAAATACATGCAGTTAGTCACTGTTGGTTAGTCCCATTCCTTAAAATATATTGGATCATGGATGTCATGTTTAGATAAAAAATACTTTCAGGAAATGTTCCCCTGAGGTTTAAAATGTTGGTCTCTCCTTTTTTTTTTTTTAATTTTCAAGTAACTAGTTCAAGTAAGTCTCCACTAAAGGCCCACTCTGATAACTTGTCTTTGCGTGGAAGTATTCCTGGGTTCTTGGAAGTTATGTCAGAGAGGTTCAAAGTCCAATAGGTCCTATCCTACAGGAAAGGCTCTGGACACAGGCATGGCAATGCCCCCCCAAAAGGGCTGTATTGGGTCAAGTACAATTAATGTCTTCAGATATGTAAATATGCAAAAAGTTCCATCTTTATTTTCCTGATCATCACATTCAAGATGTTACTGTTGACTTCACTGTTTCAAAATTGGAATATGCCCTCCTCCCATTTCCAAAAAGCAAATCCTACTAAGGTGCAGTGATTTAATGATCTAAGCTAGCTGTTCTGCCTTTTAATGAATCCCTGAACTTTTCATCTGTTAACAGTGATAATTCACTGGTTAGCAAATGTGGTGACGGTAGACCAGCAAATGGAAAGCTATTATTGGCCATGAAGAATGATGCCCCCGTGACATCCTTTAATGAAGTCTGAATTTAAAGTTCTTAGCACCTAATTGTGACTGATAGGGATGGAAGTGTCCCTCCAGGGGCCCCTTGTAATTCTGGAAAACCCTCTTCTGGTGTAAACAACTCAAAAAACTACTACTACAGGCTGTGGCACTTCTTCCCTATGGGTATATTCCGGCTTTGGGCTGTCTCAGTTGTCCCAATAATTAACTTGAGCCAACTGTCTTTCCACCTTTCCCTCCCTTAATAAAAGGGATTAATATCACTTAATAACTTAAATAAAAGTTGTAGAATAAAGCTCTAGACATGAGATCTCCTAGAATCTTTTTTTTCTCAGTTATTAAATAAGTATTTATTAAATGCCTACTATATACACCAGGCACTGTTCTAAGTGCTGGGGATACAAATGAAGTCTCTGCCCTCCAGGAGCTCACTGTCTAATTGGGGCACTATTTCACTTTTTGTATTATATACTCCAGCACAGGACCTGGCACACAGTAAGTGCTTAAAAAACATGCTTGTTTATTGATAAAGAGAACCCAACACATCTCCAACTCACTCTGGAATCCCCAGGATGCTCCCACAGCTTTGAGTACCAGGCAGGCAGATATGTATCTGTTGCCTAACATTCAGCCTAGTTAAGTTCAGAGTTACTCATATTTAGAGGCTGATGATCAATTTTTTTGGTCAAAGCAATTAATGAAAACTTATTTACTAAGGTGTGGATTATCAGTGTTGGTGGAGAGAGTACCAATATCATTAAAGTCAAAAATCTTTAGAAGTAGTGAATTAAGTTCAAGTAGTGAGGTTATTTATAAATGCTAAATATGTGGCCTAGTGTAGCTTGCATTATCCCCTTGGGCAAATGCCAATCATCCTTACAATGGGATTTTGCTTTTTCTAATTAGGTGCTTTCAGTATTCTAAAACACTAAATTAAATGCAGTCATATTTCTGTTTCACTAGGCAAATACAGAGAACAAATCAATAAGTTCTGTCCAAAAGCTGGGAAACGCCTAAATGGCTCCCAACTCTCTGAAAAGATATTATACTTGAGAAAAACCCTATGTTCCAAGCTAGTTGATAGAGTAATGTCTCTGCTCATAATGTAGATTCCATCATTATGAAGTGTGCAAGTCAAGTTAAGACCTGATTTGGACGTGTTCTCCTTGAGATAGAGCCATTCCCGGGTAATTGTATTGTAAGACCGCACTGTTAATTGGTCCTCACTCTGGCTGGTCCTTTTGTTAGGTCCAAGCTCATGAAGACAACCTCCCACCAAGTAGATGGTCTCCTCCACAGACAGCATCTGTTGTTTGCGAATATGGACATCACATACTTCAAAAACAGTCCAGGCATCAGAAGAGGGACAGTACTGCAAAATGTTCATATTCCTATCTAAAATTAAAAAAAAATAAGCAAAATTGTAAGCATTACATATAGTTCACCACCCACAACACATCCCCATCTCTCTGTACTGAGGTACTTTAAAGTACTGGAGTAACTTAGGACAAATCTAGTAAGTTCATTATTGAGTCTACATAGCTCCAGCTAAAAAGGATGAGGAAACTCTATTTCCCTCTCAGAACTAGACAAATCTATAAGAAAGATAAAATAATTATAGAGTGGAATAGAATTATTGGAAACATTAGATTTGACTAATGATTTATGGTGACTAATGAATAGAAACATTTTTAAATATATATATTTCTCAGAAACCTATAGTACCTTTACAAAAACTGATCACATGATGAGCATAAAGGAATCATAAGTGAATGTAAAAAGGCATAAATAAAATATATTAATAAATAAATAAAATATGCTTTTATATTTGCTTCTTTAAAGACAATAAAAATATTAATTAATAAGGCATATACGATACAAATCAAAATGAAGACTAAGTAATGACATCCTGAATAATGAATAAGTGACAAAGGAAAATATTATATTAAAGATAATTTTAGTTATGAGACAATATACCAAAACGTATGGTTCATAACTAAAGCAGTCCTCAGTAGAAAATTTGTTTCTCTGAACTTATAAAATAGAAGAAAGTATCAATTAACTCAGCATATAATTTTAAAGACTAGAAAAATGAATTAGCAATCCTAAGATAATCACAAAGGAAGGAATTTTGAAAATCAGAAAAGTAGAGAAAATTGAAAAGGACTACAGAACTAGCGAACAAAACTTGTGATTAAGAAAGAGAAAAGCCAAATTATAAAATAAAAAATGAAAATGTGAATTCAGAAAAGAGAATAAAGAGAATTATCAGAAAGTTTTATATACAATTATATACCAGCAAAACTCAGAATTCAAATGAAATTGCTGAATATATAGACATACATATATATAAAACACCCAAGGAACAAAAGAAAAAACAGAAATCTTAACCCAAACTCAGAAAAGGAAATAAAGCAAGCCATTTATGAACTACCAAAGCAAAAACTTTGAACCAGATGGATTTACAAGTGGTTCAACATTAATTAGCAAGCATAATTCATGATATAATCCACTAAAATAACAAAAACCATATGACTACTTTAATAGATACAAGAAAAGCCTTTAACAAAATATAGTTCTCATGTTAAAAGCCCCAAAAGCATAAACATAGAAGGGACCTTCTTTAATATGATCAAAAGCATACATATAATGCCAAGACCTAGCATTATTTGTAATGCTGAAACATTAAATGTTTCCCTAGTACAAAAAGTGGCAAAGGATGCTTCTACTTACCACTAGTACTGTACATAATTATAGAAATATTAAAGATATAAATAAACATTGCATAAAATTATTCCTACTTGCAGATGACATGACATGAGGGCATATTTTGAAAATATTAGCAATCAGGAAGAAACTAGATTCAATAAAGCAGCTTAATATAAAATAAATCTATAAGGTTATTAGTATTTCTATACAGTACAAACAAGAACTAGGAATAAACTATGTAGTAGGACCTATTTGGGCCCATTAATGTTAAGTAGCAGCTAAGTGGGCCTGGAGCCAGGCTTGAGCTCAAATCTGGTCTCAGACACTTACCAGCTGTGTGACCCTGGGCAAGTCACTTAACCCCGTTTGCTTCAGTTTCCTCATTTGTAAAATAAGCTGAAGAAGGAAATGGCAAACCACTCTAGGATCTTTGCCAAGAAAACCCCAAATGAGGTCACAAAGAGTCAGACATGACTAAAATGATTCAATAATAACAATGTTAAGTGACTGCTCAAAGATCTCTAAGAGCAATTGCTTCTTTTTTTTAAGGTGCAGAACCACAGTTTTAATTAGCTAATTGTGGCTACTAACACCCAAATCTCCTCAATGTTGGAAACTCCCTCAATCCTGGAGCTTCGTCAATAATTCCACTCCCTAAGAGCCTGAGCCATTAGTCTGGGAAGAATATCCACACATTGTATCCTCAGTGTTGCCCAATGTGGGGTTGGGGGGTTGGTGGCAAGTGAAGAGCACTCTAAGGACAACTGCACTGATGTCCCAGGGCCTGCATGGACAGCTGGAGTACAACCACTTACTGCACTAATTCCAGCCACCCTGCTCTCCTTATTTGTGAAAGAATGCCCTTCTCAGAATGAAAATAAGTTTAAATATCTGTGCTTCTCAGAATGATCTGCTTTTCTGAAATGAACAGCCATACCTATTGTTTGGACTAGATATTTGAGAACTGGCATGCCAAGGATAAATGATACCACGAATTCCATTTTTTCTTTTCATTATGAACATGATCAACACAAACATTCCAATGTTTTATATATGAAAAGAGGGTTTTATTTGAAACTATGAGCTTCTGTTACACACTATTCTGTTTTTTAAAATGATTTAAAAAGTAATAAACCTGCCATGTGTTCCTTTTTCCTTTCTAAATTTTTGAGGGTTTTCCCTGTATACTTTTTTCTTTCTCTATTGATGCTCTTTTCCTTCTTTTTCTTTTGCACCCCTTTTAATCCCCACTAACCTACCAACCCCCACAGAAGTCTTTCCTTGTCTTAAATAAGATAAGCCAAGCAAAAGAGATCAAAGCATTGTGAATATGTGAAAATGGATGTCTCATTCTGCATCTCTAGTCTATCACCTCTCTGTCAAGAGGTCTTCTGAAATCGTGACTGGTCACTGCATGGTTCAGAGTTCTGAAGTCCTTCAAAGATACTATCATTTATGTTACTGTGGTCCTCCTCTAATCTCTTCTCCTGGTTCTACCTATGGCATTCTACATGAGTTCATATGTCATATGTCTTTGCAACTTGATCTTTTTTTTTTCTGGAGGCAATCAGGTTAAGTGACTTGCCCAGGGTCACATAGCTAGTAAACGTCTGAGGCTAGATTTGAACTCAGGTCCTCCTGACTCCAGGGTCAGTGCTCTATCCATTGTACCACCTAGTTGCCCCCTGACTTGCTCTTCATTCTTCATATTTTTTTTAGTTTATCATTTATTTTTAGCATTCTTTTCTTTTTAAATTTTGAGTTCCAAATCCCCTCCCTTCTACCCCACCACACACTGAGAAAGCAAGTAATATGTCAATTACACATGTGAAATCACACAAAACAAATTTCCATATTAGCCATGTTACAAAAAAAAAAAAGCAAGAAAAATAAAGAGAAAAAAATTATACTTCAATTTGCACTCAGAGTTGATCAGTTCTCTCTTTCTGAAAGTGGATAGCATTTTTTCATCATGAGTCCTTTGGAATTGTCTTGGATCACTGTATTGATCAGAGTAACCAAGTCTTTCATAGTTGGTCATCATTACAATATTGCTATTAACTGTGCTCAATGATCTCCTGGTTCTTGTCACTTCACTTTTCATCAGTTTATGTAGGTGTTGCTATGTTTTTTTCTGACACTACCCTCCCCATCATTTCTTATAGCATAACAGTACTCCATCACAATCATATACAATTCCCCAAATGAAGAGCATCCTTTAATTTCTTGATTTCTAATTCTTTGCCACCACAAAAAGAGCTGCTATAAAAATTTTTGACTATACAGGTCCTGTTCCTTTTTCTTTGATCTCTTTGGGATACAGACCTAGTAGTGGCATTGCTGGGTTAAAGGGTATGCAGTTTTATAACCCTTTAGGCATAGTTCCAATAGTTGGACTAGTTTATACTCCACATTTTTCCCTCATCCCCTCCAGCATTTGTCATTTCTGATAGGTGTAAGATGGTACCTCAGAGTTGTTTTAACTTGCATTTCTCTAATTAATAGTAATTTAGAGCATTTTTCATATAGATAGCTTTGATTTCTTCTTCTGAAAACTGCCTGCTCATATCCTTTGATCATTTATCATTAGGGGAATGACTTTTATTTTTATAAATTTGATTCAGTTCAATACTCAGTATATATTTGAGAAATGACTCCTTTATCAGAGAAACCTGCTGTGAATTTTTTTGATATTACTTCATTGTCTGTGGTATCTTTTTAGCAAAATGCAGTTTCCCTGATTATCTCTTTTAAATAGGTCTGTTTTTGCTTTTGCTTTGTCTGAGATGATGATTACTATCTCTACCTTTCTTACTTCCACTGAAACATGTAAGATTCTGCTCTAGCCCTTTATTTTAGCTGTGCATGCTGTTCATTTTCAAGCATGTCTTTTGTAAAGAACATATAGCTGGATTCCATTCTGCTATCTGCTTCCATTTTATGGGTGAGCTCATCCCATCCACATTCAGTTATTATCACTCACTATGTATTCTCCCTCAATTTCATTATCTTCTATTTCTTCTGGTCTCTTTCTATTTATCCTGTCCCTCCTCAAAAGTCCTTCTAAGCACTGCCTCCCTTAATCCGACCTCTCCCCTTTTCTCTTATTCCCTTCTCCTCCTATTTCCCTACTGGGTAAGTTACATTTCTATACACAACTGAGTATATATGTATATTCTTTCCTTTTTTAACAAATTCCAATGAAAATGAGGTTCGAGCATTGCCTGCCACCCCTTCTCCACATTTTGTGCTCCATCGTAAAAACGTTTCCTTGAATGTTTCTGTTCCATGAGAAAATTTTCCCCATTCTACTTCTCCCTTTCCCCAGTGCATCCCTCTTTCTCACCCCTTCATTTTGGGGGGAGATTATACCAACACAATCAACTTGTACCCATGCCCCCTGTCTATATAAACTCCTTTTAAACTGCCCTAACAATGACAAAATTTTTAGGAATTGCACGTATCATCTTCCCATCTTATTACATCCCTTATAATTACTCTTTTGCTTTTACCTATTAGTGTTTCTCTTCAGTCTTATGTTGGAATGTCAAATTTTCTATTCAGCACTGGCCTTTTCATCGGGAATGCTTGAAATTCCTCTATTTCATGAAATATCCATTTTTTCCCCCTGAAGGATTACACTCAGTTTTGCTGGATAGCTGATTCTTGGTTGCAGTCCTAGTTCC